CGGCAAGCTTTCAGACTTCTTTGACCCTGCTACAAGATTCATTCTTCATCTTCCAGTAGGCTCGGGGACTAAGTGGGCACACTTCACCTTGCGGTGAATGTGCTTGTTCTCATCTCGAGGCTACGCCCGGGGACTGGCTGCCTGCTCGGCTGGTCTTCTACTTTATGACCCTGGCACCACGTGACTATGTCACCTACTGTCAGGCTCGGGGACTAACTATGGGGGTATGGCCCCCAAGACATGGGCCGCACCATCGGACTTGGCCCGGCCCACAAGATCAAGGCGTGCACGGCGCTGCTTGGCGTGCACCACAAGACATTGTATAGTACCAAATAGGATACTTTACTTGTAACCCTGCCCCTCTAGAGTATATAAGGAGAGGCAGGGTCCTCTACTCGACATCATGTATTCAATACAATACACCAAAGACACAGGACGTAGGGTATTACGTCGATCAGATGGCCCGAACCTGTCTAAATCACTGTCTCTGCGCCTTGTGTCACCATCCGGTTCCTGATCATGCGCATCTCCACCGATCAATCTACCATCGTGGGATACCCCTCGGTGGACTGCCGACGATATTTTGTCGACATGCTCTCAAATATATTTTTCTCGATATGCATCACATCCAAGTTGTGCCTAATAAGCAATTTTTTCCAGTACGGAAGCTGGAAGAAAATACTCTTCTTCCTCTAGTTGTGCCATCTCTTTTCTTCGTCATGCTGCTTCCTTTTTCTTGATTCAGGGCCGAATGTGACTTGGTCAAAACTATCATAGTGTTGCAACACATGTTCTCCGGTCAGTGGTTGTGGAGCCTCCCTATATTCTGTCATGTTGTTGAAACTGACCTTGTTTTTGCGCCACTTGTGGTCCATAGGCAAAAAGCGACGATGCCCCATGTAGCAGTGCTTCTTCCCATGCTTCAACCATAAGTAGTCTGTTTCCGTATGGCAGTGTAGACATGCAAACTTGCCTTTCGTACTCCATCCAGAAAGCATCGCATATGCTGGAAAGTCATTGATTGTCCACAGTAGAATTGCATGCAAATCAAAATCCTTCCTCTCCTTTGCATCCCAGGCTTTGACACCCTCTTCCTAGAGAACTTTGAGCTCATCAATTAGAGGCTGGAAGTACTCCTGGGGTCATCATTGATAACATCCAATACGACTGTTTCAAACACAACCATGGTGGAAGATTGTTAGGAATTAAAATCACAGGGCAACAACTGTATGACACATTCAACATACCAAACGGATTGAATCCATCAGATGCCAGACCAAGCCTGACATTACGAGGATCCTCTGCAAACCATTCATAGGATGCATCCACATGTTTCCATGCTTTGGAGTCCGTAGGATGTCGCATTTTTCCATCAACCACCAATTCTTCCTTATGCCAGTGCATATATGATGCTCTAGTCTCTGACATATATATCCTTTGGAGCCGTGGAATCAGTGGGAAGTACCGTAGGATTTTACGTGGAACACGCTTTATTGAGCCACAACTACTGCCAACATCCTGTACCTCTTTAGACTGCTTCCACCTTGTCTCACCACATTTTGGGCAATTATCCAGGCCCTCATATTCTTTCCCTCTAAATAACACACAATCATTATAGCATGCATCTATCTTTTCATAATTTAGACCAAGATCTCTAACAACCTTTTTGATCTTCTCCATACTATCTGGGAGGCAGTGTCCTTTAGGAAGAATAAGTAAGAACAGCCCAAGTACGTACTCCATGCAAGCATTACTACAACCAAACATGCACTTCATCTGAAACATTTTGACAATGAAAGACACCTGGGTAGCTTCTGTGCAGCCTAGAAACAACTCCTTCTTGGCCTCTTGTAGAAATTTAAAGAACTTCTTTGCCATCTCATTTGGCTGTTCCTCATCGATTTCTCCACGTATAGTACCCCTGATCAAAGAATGTAACAATTCTGTGGTACCAGCCCTATCATCAACATCATCATCATCATCAATAGCTGAACCTTCACATATACTTTCCTGCTCTCGGATGAAGCTTTCATCAAAACCTTTCCAAAGCAAATGATTCTGAACATCCGACCGTTTTCTAAATGACATGGAATGACATGCCGAACATGGACATGGTGTCGTTCCTCCTTTAGAGCTGCCTCCAAAGGTGTTATCAAGATAATCTGTTAATCCTTGTTGCCACTCTGTAGATGCCTTATCCAGCCGCATCCAACTTCTACCTTGGTGTGACATTGATTTGAACACCTGACAAACACACACAAAGATAAATAAGAACATGCTACATATTGGAAACAAAGCAGCGGCGAATCTAGGATTTTAGGTCAGGGTATGCACCACAAAAAAATTCATACACAATTCGGTAAATCCATTTACCAATTCGGTAATAAGGTTTAAATTCATGAATTAAGTGGAAGCCATATCTACTAAATACAATTTAAATTAACGGATCAACTATTAGCTTCAGTCGCTTGATGCTAGTATGGATTGAATTGCAAGGTAAAAAAATTACAAATACTGCAACAGAAGCCAATGAGACTGTAGTACTGATTAGTGATTACTGAAACCACTTACCGCAGCCACAGGAGTCACGAGTCAGGGATGGAGGGATTGTAGATCGATCTGCAGTGACCGTACTACTGAGAATGAAGCACCACGATTAGAACTGAGAATTCAAGGGAACTCTGATCCGATCTGAGCCCTAAGATTGATCGGCAGCAGGGAGGATGCATCACCTTTGATCTGTAGCAGGAGGACGTGCGCCTCCAAGGGTCACGTGAGGATACGAGACGTACCTCCTAGTGCCGGCGTCCCCTGGTCTCCTGCATGGACAAAACATATCTCTTACATAAATACATGCAAGTCAAAACATGGTTAGATAATAGTATAAAAGAATAAAAATATTAGTCCATGCAACAACATGCAACTAGTCTAGTGGTTTGTCCATGACCTGGGCAATCGTAAGGGCACAGGTTTGACTCCTTTGCCCCTCACATTATTTGTTATTTTTTTCAAAATAATTAACAATTCACTTATTATACTTCTCATTTTTACTTTTGTGCTTTTCTCCTACAATTTTTTTTACCTTTTGAAAATCAATGTGTTTTTTAACAATTTTTGTTTAACTTTTCGAATTCAACGTGTTTTTTTAACAATTTATTTTTATCTTTTAAAATTCAACATTCCAACAACATTTATAAAATTTTGAAAACAATTTCTATCGTGGTTACTATATATTGTTGTTGTCATCCATTTACTTGCCCTGTCATTTCCAACAACCTAATATGTAGACTTATCTCATGTACTACCACGTCATGTGTCACCAAGTTTCTGATCATGTCCAGCTAGTACCTAATTGTCATATGTCACCGAGTTTCCGATCGTGTAGTGAACTTGATGCATCCTTCGAGATCTCACAACATGGGTGTCATACCGATCATGTCCAGCTAGGGGGGCTGTAGCCACCCCCCCCTGATCCTCATTTCTCCAGTAAATAACCATTGTTTAGCCTCAAATCACCATTGATCTTTAGCTTTAGCCCAAAATCTTCACTATTTAGCCCCCCTTGATTCCTATCCTAGATCTGCCCCTGGCGACAAGCACCCCTAGTCGACTCGGCAGCAAGACTATGTTGGTGCCCTGTTACCGTTGCTTCATCCCCAGCCCTGGATGCTGCCGCTACCGAGGCACCAAGACTTGGAGTGAGATAGGTTCTCATAGTGGAACTCAAATATAGCGACGAATACGACCGTGACGACACTTGCAGCCGAGGGCGCCCCACCACGAACAATGATACAAAGAGAAAAAATGCCTAAGTGAATTCGAAAATGGTTTATTGTTCCAATACAAAATCATGTACTATCATTTTATTATTTTCCTAAATATGATGTAATTATCTTCAAATTATAAAATGTAAAAAAAATCACACAACTATTAGAAAAAGAACAAAATAAATCACACAAATACAAAAATGAATCATGTAATTAGATTAGTTTATTTGTTAATTATTTTTATACCGTGCATCGCACTCATCTAGTTATATATTATAGTTATTAAAACTATTTTAAAACCTTTTTACAATTTTCTATATTTTCTCTTTATTTATTTCACATCAGGAATAGTCTTTTATTTATTACTTTTTTTTGTTATTGTGCGAAACCTGGCGCTCAAAATTGAATCCGTGAAAATTTTCGGAAGCGCGCGCCCTCGTCCCGCGAAAAAACACCGGCTGCTAATTACTCTTCGTCCCTCCCTAATACAGAGCGGTTTATATTCCTATCCTAATCTAATCTGCATCACGGTAGAAGAGGAGCCGCCGCCCCCAACCATGAGGTCGCCGCCGCCTGCCATGAGGTCGCCTACCAGGAGGTCGCCTACCAGGAGGACGCCTACCAGGAGGTCGCCGCCGCCTCCGCCTACCAGGAGGTCGCTGTCGCCGTCTCCTCCGTCCAAATCCTTTACTTAATGGCTCAGTTTGTTTTGTCATTCTAGCAACAGTTTGGCATCTTTTTTTTTCTCCTGGATAAGCCACAAATCCTTTAAGTCTACACATATGCAATGGTTGCATTAACAACTTCTTTCTATCATGGAAATGCACATGTGTCATTTGATGTGTTATGGTGTGGTTTAGGTTGAGAGGGAGGGAGGGGGCCAGCCAAGCAAGAGAAAGATTTTCCTTCTAATTCCTGCATTCCTTTTCTCATGGTAGCCAATGGTATACATAGCCATTATAGGAATCCCTATCACCCCTTATAAGTTATTGTAGGCACATAGCACTTGCAGCTAACAAATTTTGACATTGACAAAATGCTATCCACTAAATTTTGACATTTGGCACAATGTTCCTGTCATTACTCTAACTACTGGCATACACTACGTAGCTTCAACATCCATATATGCTATTTGAGTATGAGTACATTGTTTATTCATTTAACAAGTATACATGTGCATCAATTAATTTATTTCCTGACAATTGTAGGAAAACATTCCAGAAAACAGGAGATATGTGGCAAGTACTTATTGATTTCTTGGGGGGACCCCAGGACCAGAAACGTGCCATATTGGACCTTGACCGTGCTAAAATTACCTTTGCCAACTTATTGAAGTTCAAAGTTAAGATGGGTTATTCTGTGAGGGACTTCATGTACTATATGAAGAGATGTGGCAATGATACAGCTTTCCTGCAGCGTATAGATTACGAAGAAGATGCATTAGCAATGATAGAAGATTGTATGCAAGAGAAGAAAATTAGGATAGCAGTTTCAGACACTCAGCTAGATCAGGAAGGAGAATATGCAATCACACCGATTAAGCAACGTAGTACACATGAGGAAGTTAGTGGACAAGGAATTCAGGATGAAGACATTGATGCGTACAAGGTGTGGCTCAATAAGCTGCCACAGGATGAAAACAACCCAGGTACTAATGTACTAGAAAAATACATCTCAATGATTTTTAGGTACAGTTCTCAAACTTACACTATATATATAACATCTATATATGCATCTTGCAGAATTTAAGGATGACACCCGGCTGAATACTGTTGCAACATATAAAGAATGGTTGAGGAGGGAAGGGCTTCTTAAAGATATATGTAATCTGATTTTGTTTTATCTTGGCATTAGCGGAAGCCTTAATATATACATATATTTCCAACTCCATTGTAACTGTGTACTTTCACTTTTTTGTATGTGCAGATGCATATTTAGATGATGAAACCATTGAAGAAGACGGAAGTGGTGACAATAGCGCAGCACCAATGCAGTTTCCAGCTCATGCTCGTAGGCCAAAGGCCTCTCAGAAAGGTATGCAATGGTTCAAAGTGTTCATACATTACTATAACATAAAAATGCTGATTTATAATGTTAACATACGTTCCATTTTGTAACATCAATTTTACAGTAGGGGTTGGCGACAAGAGAAAGATTGGGCGAGGAACCTTGAAAGGTTTATCGGTCGAAGCTAAGAGATTTAAACTTAGCACTGAGAAACTTAGTATAGATTTCTCATCCACAAAAGGCGGTCCTATAGGAGATAACTATCGCTCGTTTGTTGATGAAATAGTTCGGTTTACAAGAAAAAGGACTCCACTTATTGGAGTTAAAAAGTGGGGAGATGTCAAGCAGATTGTTAAAGATAAAATAGCACGAGATATAATGGTACGTTACAGTCTTGCTCCCGCATATGATAAATTAATTCTTTGTAATATCTTAATTGTTCACAATTTGTTGGTCATCCCCTTTCTACAGGTTAGGTGGAACATTGAAAACAATGATGAAGAGAAGGCTAGGATATGGAAGATTGCAAAGTATCGTTACAAAGGATGGCGAGCTCAATTCAGTGCCACATACAAGGCATACAACAGTTATCATGAAAGAATGAAACATAAGCCAGATGATTTGGACATTGTGGAGTGGCACTACTTGGTGTTGTATTTTGGAAGTGAAAAATTCCAGGTTCCAAGCCTCTGACATATATGTGTTTATTGTCTGTATTTTGTAGTGCAACTAACATATCTGTGTTTATATTAGCGAATGAGCACCACAAACTCTAGCAATTCCCAGCATCGACAGACAATACATCTTACAGGATCAAAACCTTTTTCACAAGTTAGTTTTGAGCAGGTAATGATATGGAACCTAATCTTCTTCTTTTATTTTTTACCTAAACAGTAACAATGTTCAATTTTCACATCTTAGAGAAACCTGGAGACTGATGAAGAGCCAGATGGTTTGACATTTTGGAGGAGTACACACACCAAGGAGGGCCGATGGTCTTCTGATGCTGCTAAGCAAATATATGTAAGTGCTACTTTGTTCATTAGTCCTTGTGTTCGGTTTGGCAATTCTATCTTTATGCTATTTTCAGTTTTCAGCTGTGCCACCTGTTCTTTTTGGTATAGCAAGTTAGGATGAGCCAAATGCTTCCAAACTTTTTCTGTGGTCTCCTGGTAGCATATGCTAGCTGCTGTAATTTTTGTAGAGCATTGTTGAGTGTCAAGTGCGATCGGACGCTGGACCGGACTCACAGTTTCCGCGTCCAGTCAGTGTTGCAGAGTGGCTGTGGTCCATTTTTCGACCGGACGCTGAAGAGAGTGCATGACTGGACGCACCGAGACTTGGAGTCCGGTCACAAACAGAGAGTGACCAGAGAGGGTTTTTCTGAGCGGATGCGTTCGGTGATGAGTGACCTGACGCACATGCGCGTCCGGTCAGCTCAAACGGCTATTTTCTGCTGCTGTACTGTTTCAGCTTGTATTGTTGTGACTAGCGTGTCCGGTCGTGTGCAACTGCGCGTCCAGTCATGTCATCAGCTTTTAGTTTTGTTTAGCTTTTCGAATTCAACGTGTTTCTATCGTGATTACTATTGTTGTCTTCATCCATTTACTTGACTTGTCATTTCCAACAACCTAATATGTAGACTCATCTCATGTACCTAATATCGTACTTATGCTTTATGTAGTTAAGTTATGTTCTTTAAAGTGATTTGAATAGAGCTGGGCTACTTGGTAAAACGAGTGTCCAGTGATGTATGTTCTCATAACATGTTTTATTCATTTATCTCCAATGTCATACATATCTCTGAAATGCTATCGTTTGACTGTCCATTGCTTTCTCATAACTTGTTTTATTCATTTACCTCCAATGTCATACATATATCTGAAGTATCCATTTTACCTAATTCTTATTATACTTGAACTAGAACTGTTGTTGCTACTTGCTAAAGTTGAATACACTAATTGTGTTCTTAAATTTAGGAAAGCGCCTTCTCCAAAGTTGCAGAGAGAATTGAGTTGGAAGCTTCTGTGATTTCAAAAGAACAAGAAAGGCACATTCTTCATGAAACCTACAAGGAAACCACTGGATGCAGGAGCAGGAAAGGTCCTGGACATGGATACATGGCAAAGTATCCGACCCGAAGCCAACTTATGAATGGACGAAATGAAGAGCAGGCTCGTGCATCTGCATTAGCAGCAGTAGCCCAACAGAACAATATTGAGATGCAAGCTGAGGTAGACAAGTTAAAAGAACAGCTTACCGTTCAAGCCGCTGAGAGGGAGAGCGACAAGGAAAAAATTCAGCAGCTGCAACATCAACTGGAGAGTACAAGTAGCAAGATTAGAGAAGAACTAAGGCAAGAGTTTTTTGCACTAATCAAACAACAGAATCATGCACCGCCTTTGGTACTAATACTACTTCTTAATTGTTACCAACATCATTGTTTTTAGTAAACCTTGATTGCTAATGTTTCTCCTTATAACTCCAATGCTAGAATGCTGCACCAACCACAATAGCCCCTCAGCCTGCAGAAACAGCCACTCATCCTTCAGAATTCACAACCAATGCTACTGTTATTGAAAATATGGTTAGTGGAAATGAAGGTGCAGATTTAGCACAGGTATTATTTTTTTGATGAATGCAAACTGCAATGTAATGGATACCTACATTTAATCTGACATAATGTGTGAATCTTTTTTTTTAATACGAAGGCTGCTGTTAGTGCAAATGAAGTTGCAAATTCAGCACATGTACTATTTTTTGATAAATGAAAACTGTAATGTAATGAAAAAGGATACCTACATTTAATCTTGAGGTAATGTGTGCATCTTTTTTTTTAAATGAAGGCTGGTACAGAATCTACGCTGGGCATACATAATGCACCTTCTAATGGGCCTGCTGTTGTTCCCACTCCTAGCCAAGGACCAGAACAAGTGCAAAAGGTAATATACTTCAAAAATATCACCTGTACTTTAACAGATTCTTAGAATTGCTAAGTGGTGATTGTCCCTTCAAATCTTCTTGTTTTTGCAGACCGTAGAAGACAGTGAATTAGTGAGCAATAAGATGAGTATCCAACCTAGTCGCCTCACTCGCAGCAATGCCAACATATCACTTTTCCCAAATGACAAAGGCAGTAATGAGTCTTTGAAGTTTATTACTTCACATACACTGAGGAATAATGCTGCAAGTAAAAAGCGAGTTTTGAGAAATAAATGAGGAAAGGTATGAGCTCAAAATCTTATACATGAATCAGGTGTCATTTTAAGTTGTTGTCCAGATTATTAACATGAACTTTAAGTTAAACATGTCCTTGCTGCTGCTCCTGCTAGCATTCCAATTTTGATTAGATAGTGAATAGCTTTAACTGACAGTGTCAAGCTGCTGTAGAGTGTTGCTTTCCACACCGGTGGGATTGGTGAGTTCTAGTAGTGCCATGATCCGGTTGGATTGGTCCCTGTGCCTATGCTGCTACTAGTCTTTGAGGACTTCATTTTAGTGATGCTACTTTGCAATGAACAACTGATGTTTGGCTGGATGGTACTGCAATCATTAGGATTTTGCAAGTTACTGATTTTATTCCCTAGATGGTCTTACTGGATTCTAGTGTTATGCTCTTTATGCTCAAACCTGCAGAAAGTGTCCAATGTTAATCAACTCCCCTGTTCTCATGTAAGCATGAGTAAAACCTTGATTAACATCTACCATGCTGTCTATGTTTGATTCCAACTGTGTGATCAACTCTATATATTACTAATGCATGTCATTTTGACTTTTTCAGGAAGATCAACCTTGAGGGAGTCTTGGCAAGCTGAAATGAATCTAATATTGTGCAACGAGAAAGTATCATGTTGATCTGTGCTAAGAGACATGTATTTTTGTTTATGATTGCCTATTTGTAGCATAAGTTAGTGGTTTGTAATGCAGTTCAACTTTGCAATTACCTATTTGGAAATAGGAAGGCATTTGACTTCCTAACATTGTACAAATTATTGAATGCTTATGATCCAAGTTATTAATATGATTGCCTTTTTGTGCCATTGAATTTTGTAATTTTATGAATTTATGTGCAATGAATTCGATGCAATAATTGGTTGTCCTCCCAATCTCATGTCAATGCAATAGTTCGTATTGCAGCGAACCAAAATGGTGATGCAATAGAACCTCTTGCATCCAACCTCATGTCGATGTAATAGTTTGTATTGCATCCAACCTCGTGTTGATGCAATAATTCGAATTGCATCAAACATAAAGTCGATGCAATAGTTCGAATTGCATCAAACATAAACTCGATGCAAGACATAAACTCGATGCAATAGTTCGTATTGCATCGAACCAAAATGGTGATGCAATAGGTTCTATTGCATCGAACCTAATATCGATGCAATATAGTCTATTGCAGCACACATTGGCCGTTGCAATAGATGTATTGCATCAACATGATTTCGATGCAATAAGCTATTGCATCTCTTAGTTTTGATGCAAGAGACAACGGACGGCCGATGCAATAGCTGCTTCTCGCATCAGCCACAAGAAGCCGATGCGAAAGGCTATTGCATCAAGACCACTTGCATCGGCTCGCATCAAACGAGAAATTGATGCGATATCAAGCTATCGCATCTATTTTAGACCTATAACATCAAAAATTGGCCGGTGCAATAGGGTACAAATTTAGTAGTGATGGAATGGAACCACACTGAACTCCTGTGCGTGCATACCATGTGTGAGTGTGATAAGGCTGCACCGGCGCAGTATGCTCGAGGGCCTAGGCCTCGTTTAGTTTGCAAATTTTTTGGCGAAAGGGTACTGTAGCAGTTTCGTTGTTATTTGGCAATTAATGTCCAATTATAGCCTAATTAGGCTTAAAAGATTCGTCTCGTGAATTTCGTCTAAACTATGTAATTAGTTTTATTTTTTATTTATATTTAATGCTTCATGCATGCGTCTAAAGATTCGATGTGACAGGAAATCTTGAAAAATTTTGCAAAACGAAGTGGAACTCCCTACTCTTCCTGGCGATCATGGTGGGGGCAGAGCCACCCAGCACGTAACATGGCACTGCTGCAGTCCCGTGAGTGCATGCCTGCCTCTTTCGGTAATGGCCCGCAGAGAGGAGGAATTCGTAGGAGGTCCAGGACAGTTCGTAGTAAAGATTTTTTTTAAACGAATCAGGGCCAACAACCACGCCGTAAAACAAACTCAACAAAAAGGAAAAGAAAAATAACTCTAGCCGATCGGATTGGGACATCGACACGAATTGCACAAAGCCGAAGCTCAACTCAAAAACGAAGAAAAAAGAACCACCACCATCTCCAAACCACCACACTGCACCGCCAACCCCCGGACGACGAAGGACATCAAGGTGGAAACACCGTTGTCACCGCTCGCGCCGTCGTTACCGACGATGATCCACACCGAGCTAGCCTGCTGCCAAGCAGGACTAGCCGCCGTGGGTCGCTGCAAGCCGTGTAGCCATCCCGCAATCGGATCCGCTTGCGCCACCTGTCAAGACGATGTACCACACCGGACCAGCCACCGCCAAGTAGGGCTAGCCGCCGTAGCCCGCTGCAAGCTGCCAAACCAATGCGTGAGCAGTTGCCTCTGGTGCTCACCAAGCCGATCCCGTCCACTGAGATCTAGGTGCATACACTATAGTTTCCAACAACCTAGTTGCCTCATCGAAGGTAGAAGTACCACATGGGTCCTCCAGCTGCTAGTCGAAAAGCCTCCTTACGCCGAAATGGCCGCCGCTGAGCGGGACCACCCGTCGCCAAACCACGCAGGTTACCTTGGCAACGCAAATCTGCTAGCCACACCTCCCACGCCGGCCTCCTCACTAACTTCGTGGGTGCCGCCCACGCCGGCCTCCTCGCCATCTTCGTGGGCGCAACTAGCGCCAGGTCCCCCTAGGACCATTGTCCTCCACCAAGCTAATGGCAAGCCCTCCAATCATTGCGCTAACGCCCACTTCCTAGCCACCTTCTGACGTCATGGATACTAGACCCTGAATCCTCAACTAGGCCTCCACATTGTCGGCAACCACCATGACTGGCATAACACGAGCTTCCAAAGCGATGCCTCCAACGAGGGGAACGACGCCACAAGTGCCGCCGCCTAACCAGAAGGTTAAGGTTTTACACCCAGGAAGAAAGCGCCACGCAAGGGGAAGGGCTGATTGATGGACGCTTCCAAGGAAGTATGCGGCGCCTCGAGGCGTCGCCGTCATCGGCCCGAAAGGGCTCGGCTTTCGCCAAGGCGCCCAACCCCGTGCATGGGCCTCAGTGTTGCCATTGCCAAACCTGGGTTGCCGCCTGTCATTGCCATCCCTGGAGATCAGGGCAGCCACAACTAGTGTCCCGGGTAGCAAGACAGCGTCGCCGCTGTCCACCGCTGCTGCAGGCCGCTGTCGCCGGCGGTCTGCCACCACACCGCCACCCCCGCCATGCTGCAGAGCACGACCTTGATGAAGATGTACGGGTCTCCGCTGCGGCCGCCACGCGACCCAGCGGGATGAGGACCGCCGTCGGGCTGCCAGCACCGAAAGGCCTGCCAGCCACGTCGAGCGCAGAGGGGACCGGATCCGGCCGCCGGAGGACCGCATCCGCCACCCATAAGCGGAGGACATGTGTCTATTTAACACTTGGAACTGTCCTTTTACAAATATAAAGTGTATTTTTACAGGTTACTAGTACTTAAAAATGCAATTGAAGCATAGTTATGCTAGTTTCAAAATCACAAGGAATATGGACGAATTGAACAGTAACAGAGCCAAACACTACTCAAGTACTCAACTACGGCCTCTTTGAGAAAATTGCTTGACGTGCTATAGGTAATGGTTACAACTGTCACATAGTGTGTTCCAAGAACCTTGTTTGTTATACTATGCATGCTCATTATCTATCTATATCTATCTATCTATCTATACTATAAATCTATACTATAAAAGAGCAAAAGAATTGTAAAATATCTGTCACCTAAAAGTTTTCTACCTAGTAAAGGTCTGCACCCTCGGATGCGTTTTAATCTTACATCCAACGGTTAATATAGATATGACAGGCGGACCCGAAAACGAAAAGGACAATACTCATGTGAGAAACACGCTTTGCTCACTACTAGAGAACAGACTTTAGAACGATGTCCTAATTTGGCATTAGCCTCGGCATTTTTTGCCCCCGGGACTAAAGGACCCTTTAGTCCCGGTTCGTAATACCAACCGGGACTAAAGGTCCCTGCCCAACGGTCGTCCGCAGGGCAGGGATCTTTAGTCCCGGTTTGGGTGATACCCTGGGAATAAATATTAATCTTTAGTCCCGGTTTGGCCACCTAACCGGGACTAATTATGCCGGCCTATACACTAGCTCATTCCATTCAAACTCACTGCCTCTGTTCTTTAGCTTGCTGTTGTTCTTGCTCTCTCCCCCTCCATTGGTGTTGCTCTTCGATTTTGGAGGTAACAAACTTAATCCTCTTATGTTTTATCAGTAGCTTATCTCATTTTGCGATGTAGATGCATGTGTAACTTTATATGTTGGACTTTATTATGATTTTATATGTCATTTTTAGCTCAAAATCACATGATGATTTGCATATATGTTTGGATAAACAAAAGTTAAATTAGTTCATCAAAATCACGCCTCGCTCGTCCTCGCTGGAGCAGACGCCATCCTCGTCCCCGGCGGCTTATGTGATCTTAGAATTAATTTTTCCATGAAATAAAAAACTTAGAAAATAGTTAGAAAATTATAGAAAATCCGTACTAGTTGAACTTGCGGACCATGTTCAGCTCGGCGAGCATGTTCTCTGCCGAGCGGTAACGGACATCAAGGTGGAGCTTTGATTCTACGAGGGAGAGCGGCAACGGTCGTGGAAGACCGTGTTCCCTTCCTCGTAGAATCGAGCTCTTCCTTAACCAAGTATCTGGTGCATTCCGTGTGGAGAAATGCTCGCCGAGATGATCACGTAAGCAAGGTCAACTAGTACGGATGGTTATTTATTAAAACATGTTTTGAGCTATAATTTGATGGATATTTGATAACTTCAGACCTACAAATGTCATCTACAAATGTTACTATCCTCGGCAACCTAAGCGCCCGTGAGCTCGCAGATATCGAAGCGTCACTTAGAATTATTTTTCCATGAAATAAAATACTTAGAAATCATGCCTTTTATTTTTAGAATTAAATTTTTCATGAAATGAAAAACTTAGAAAATTATAGAAAATCCATTACTAGTTGAACTTGCGGACCGTGTTCATCTCGGCGAGCATGTTCTCTGCCAGCGATAACAGACGTCAAGGAGGAGCTTTGATTCTACGAGGGAGAGCAGAAGCGGTGCGTGGAAGACCGTGTTCCTTCCTCGTAGAATCGAGCTCTTCCTTGGCAAGAAATGCAGTGCCGTCCGGTGGAGAAATGCTCGCATGAGATGATCATGTAAGCAAGGTCAACTAATACTGAATGGTTATTATTGAAACATGTTTTTGAGCTATGTGATTTCTATGTCATTTTTAGCTCAAAATCACATGATGATTTACAATAGTAAAATCACTTGATAGTTTGGTATTTTACTATTATACATAGTACATATTTCATGGTTTAGTTAGATAAATAAATAATTTTAGTTTTGTTTAAATATATTATTTTAGAAAATGTGAAATTTACACTAGTTTGCAAAAATAAGTATAGAAAGTAGATGACAATCTGATACGGATCCTCGGCCTCTCGTTCGGTTATTGAAGCTTGTTGAGGCGAAACTCCCTCTCATTATCTCGGCGGCAAGTGTAAGCGAAAGATTGTGATGGAGTACCGAGTCAAGAGACAGAGACCCAACAAGGGTCGTGTTTTCTACAAGTGCCCGGA